GATCAAAAATAAACATCCATAAAAATCGCTTATTCACTGTATTCTGAATATGAGGTAAATTATGGATATTATCACGGCTAGAATAGAAAGCCAACTCGAACAGGAAATGTGACGTTGAAATAAAAGGGAGCACCTAGGCGATTTTGAAAGATTTTTGCAATGAGCTGACGTTGAAAGCAAACGTTTATCATTTTCGGGAATGCCAAGAGCATCCAGAGCGCGTGTTCCATTCTATTCTCGATGGCAATGCAAAATCGCTTTTAAATTTCGATCTGATTATTAGAGCTTAGAGGAGTGGAGGTGAGTGGTTATTTGAGACAGATATAATCAAAAATGTTCAACGTTAGAGCAACAGAAGGTGTTATTGTTCAAAATTAGATGGTTTTTCTGTCTAATAATAAGAACAGAATGTCTAAATGAATAAGAAGTTGAACTGAAAAGACTACCTATCACATGACTCATAACACTCAAACACAACTTCACCGATTTTGAGTTCCATCCACCAGTCCTCATCAAACGGTGCGCATCCATCGATCACGATATTAGCTCGAAAATTACGCGCGCTTATCTCCTTATCATCTGGCAAACGAGATTTTACGTCTTCAATCGATGCACTTGATACACATAAATATGGCGCCAAGTAAGGAAAGGCGATCTGAAATTATGTGCGTTCTAAAAATGAGTTATTTGAAGATAATCTGCGTGATTCAATACAAACTGATGAATTAACAAACAACTTATAGTTAGTCTAGAACAAGCGCACTTCTGCAAACAATATTTTCATGTTTTAATGATAGCTGAACTTTTACGGAACATTCTTCATCCCTCGAAACACTTTTGAGTTCTCTGCATCATTTTAAAAAACCGACTGACTGAAGTCCGATCAACAACAGATCATGTATGGTGTTTAACGAAATGAAGGGGGACGAAACCTTGTCTTTGATTGGTGCTATACCAAAAAACCATCTGTATCCACGATGTGACCATCGCTCACTGTGAAGTCCATCTTTGTAGTGAAGTAAACCAAGCTGATCGTCCTCATGCAAAACTTTCTCAAGCCAATTGCCAACTTCTTGTCCGCAATCAAGGCCTTCATTTTTCAAATCACCGTACATTCTGCAATCATGAGTTTCAGCCAAATATTCATGCACAATTATCACATTTGGTGTATTTTCACTTGAGAGGAGCGATTTCATCTATTGACGTTATACCGGAATGACTGAAGAACCATGAATGCAGCTTTGTGTCGTACGTTGATAGCACATTCTTTTGATTCATCAATGGACATCACCATCCATATCAGGTAACATATTGTTCTCTCACGACAAATATATTAATGTAA